CTATTTCGAGGGTAAGCAGAGAGTGAAAGAGAGACAGGGTATGGTGGGTGTACATGAGAGTGGGCATGTGAGAGGGAGGACGGAAGACCGATGGAGAGAAGGTTAAACTCGAATCCCACCTGCCTTTCTCAGGGAAAATGTTGCTGAAGCCATCTCTCAGAAAGCAATTTCAACACTCCAGTCAAATGTCACCCCCTAATCTAGGGTCCCCACACACAGCCGTCCCCGTAGGAGAGGCGGCAGGGCAGAGGGCCAGGGATGCCCATCACTCACCTCTCTCTCTGTATTCCCCAGGCTCCATCATGTTCCTCAGGGCTCCGTCTCCTTCTCACAGAATGCCACCAGCAGGTGGAAGGGGTGGAACAGAGCAGCCCGGCTTCCTGCTTGCTGGTCCTGTGCGGTCCCTGGCAGCCAGCGTGGTTGCCTTTAAAGGGTTCTGCTTTCTTCAACCTTAGCTCCGCCCTTCCAAGTCCCTTCCTCTAGGTTTAATTAATGCCACCCATTCTCTCCCCGGTTCTTGCTGGGAACAGTGACCACCACTTTGTCTGGTCAAGAGCCCCAGGATAAAAGGCCTTTCTAAATTAAACAGCGCACTTAGCAACCTAAGCCTGCAGGCAGCCCCAAGTATAGACGGTCAAAGAACTCTCAGCTCTTTCTGACTCTGGATGCAGACAATGGAGGCCCGGCCTCAGAAAGAGCTCCCAGCTCAGGAGGCAGAAGAAGGCCAAGGGTGCCCAGACTAAGTCACACAGAGTGTATCATTCCTGCACCATTTCTGTAGTTTCCTTACCAGCTGCAGAGAGGGAAGGCCATGGGCTTGCAGGGATTCTCTCCTGCTAGCCAGGCTGTGCCCAGGTAATATCAAAGAACACAATGGATTTCTTTTTGTGACCAGAGAATATTTATTGTTGTAGAGAGATGAAGAAACACAGATAAGCATAAAAGAAAAGAAATTAAAACCCAGAATCAACCCAGAATGAAACGTAATGGAGAATTCACCACTTTCAGTGCCGCCAGCAGGGACAGAGAGGAGTCTCTAAGGATGTGTGAAAACTCCTGCTGGAAGGCCACACTCCTCTTACAGCTTGACTTCTGGGTGGGAAGTGCCAGAGACACATTTGGTTTGCTTCCGGTCGTCTTTCTTGTCCCATCCTTGGCATTTGATTAGTTGCTACTTGCTTGTCCTTGAGGACAGTCACACTGGGCTCCTGAGACACTGGCCACCTCCCGCGGTCCTTCCTCTACCTCTCTGGCCGTCTCCTCCATCCGGTCCTTAAATACCGGCATGAGTCAGGGTAGCGCCCTTCTTTCATCTTTCTTCCTAAGTGACCTTATCTGTTTCTACGGCTTTAATGTTACATATGTGATGTCCTTTCTTTTTTTTTTTTTTAAGATATTTTTGCTATAGGGCACATGTGCTCACCGGAGAGACAGAGACATAAAGCAAGAAACTGCCCCCTCAGGAGGTAAAACCATGCCATCATCGCTTCTCCTCCATTCTCCTCTCGGGATCTTGGGCACGCATGCACACACACCTGGCATGAGTTGCAAGCCACAGGGTCTGGGACTCAAACTGCAGGCAGCTACGTGGGAGTCCAGCACCTTAACCAGTGCTCCACCTGCTGGCTACCCTATCAGGCCTTCTGAACTTCAAAATCTTATATCCCAACTATGTGTCTGACAAACCCTTTGCATGGCTCTCAGGCACCTCACACTTAACACGCTGTAAAACTGGATTTTAGTCTTTCCTCAAAAACATACTCCCCTTCTAGTCTTTCCCCATCTCACTCACCATCTCCCTGCACATCCGTCCATGCAGTCATCCATCCTTCCATCCCTCCATCCATCCATCCAAATGCTCAAGGCACAAACCTGGACTCTTCCTTTTCTTCATTCCTCCACCCCCTGCCTAATCCAATCTGTTCAGGTACAGTTCTACTTCCAAAATACACTTCTTGTCTGTTGAGTCCTCACTGTGCCCACAGCCACCCGTCCTATTCTGGCTAAGCCTCCATCGTCACTCACCTAGACTAATACAGGAGCCTCCTAACTGGCCTTCTCCATCCACTTCTGGCCTCCCTCAAGCTAATCTCTTCATAAGAGAATGATGGTTCTCAACATCCTCTGATTAAAATCCGTAACATCTAAGAAGCTAAGGAAACTTAGGAAGGTAGTGTGGCACCAATCTGAGTTCTTATTTATACAGCAATAACTAACTGAGGCTAGCCAGTGGCGTGGTAGTTACAGGAGCTGGATCCCACATGGCTGACCATGTGGACTGAGTCCTGAAAGGGGCAGCTTGAAAAACACACAGGGTTTGGGCCAGCAGGTGTTGTAGTGGTTGAGATGCTGGATTCCACATGGCCGAGAGCAGTTCGAGTCCTGGACCTTGAAAATCACGCCAGGTGTGTGTAGGTGTGCGTGAGTGCCCCAAATCCCAGGAGAGTGGAGGAGAAGGGATTGCAGCATGGCCATCCCCACAGGGTGATTTCTCACTTTCCCTCTCACTGTTCTCTGTCTCTGTCTAGGGAGTGCATTCATCCTATGGCAAATAAAATAAAATAAAATAAAAATATCATTTAAAAAAGAAAGAAAGAAAAGGGCTGCCAGGTGGCAAGGTGGTTGGGGCACTGGACTCCCATATGGCTGACCACACTTCGAGTCCCAGACCAGGTGGCTCACTTTCTCACTTTCCCTTTCTCTACCTCTCTGTCACTCTCTGATCCAATTTTTAAAAATAATAATAAATAAAAGTAAATAAATCCAAGGAAGAAAATAAGGAAGGAAAAAAGAAAAAGAAAGAAAAACACACAGGGCATACCGCCATCATGAATGACACAGTAACCATCCGAACCAGGAAATTCATGACCACCCGACTACTTCAGAGGAAACAAATGGTCATTGATGTCCTTCACCCCGGGAAGACAACAGTACCCAAGACAGAAATTCGGGAAAAACTAGCAAAAATGTACAAGACCATACCAGATGTCATCTTTGTGTTTGGGTTCAGAACCCATTTTGGTGGTGGCAAGACACCTGGCTTTGGCATGATTTACGATTCTTTGGATTATGCGAAGAAAAA